TCCTGCCACTCAAGATACATGTCACTGCTAATTCTTGGCTAAAGACATGGGGTTTAGCCTCTCTCCTCCCACAAAAAGTTGTGGGCATACAAAGATCTGGGCTTTCTAATCCTACCTTTCTGCTTGCTATGCTATGAAATGTAGTCTCCGCTCTGATGCAGAGACTCTTTCTGGTTTTGCCTCTTCCCAGCCAGGGTTCAATGGCATTTTACTGTTGAGATATCCAGCCAGGATCAATTGCATTTTTCTGCTGAATTATAGACATTGTGTACGACCAGTCCAGCCACAACTTGCCTCAGAAGGGGGAAGGGCAATTTTTCTGTCTGCTGAGTTACTGAAAGGTGGATGTACCTGTGGGTACTGATCATGTTTGTGCTTCATTGAACGGACAACTGTTCGCTGCGGGGGCCAGAGGAGACCTGGCTGACATGTGAGGAGGCGTGTACAGCTCTTGAGCTCTGGCCTGTTCGCAGAGTCCGCTCCCACAGCTGCCTGCCGTGGACGCTGCGTCCTGTGGCGCTCAGCTGTAGCAATATCAGCTCGAGACGGTGGGCCAGCCTGGCAGAGGGATAACAAGTGAGGCACCTGCTGTCATCACTGCCTGCGTGGTGGACTTCCTCCTTGCTGGAGCCGATTGTGACGTTTTGCAATGGTTAGAAAAAGCCGGAGGGTTTTGGTTTGGGGTACACCACTTGTGCCAGTGCCCTCCGCTGCATACCTTGCATCTGCAAGCCAAGGCACTGACTGATCCTCCAGGCAAGGCTGTGCAGGCAGCTGCCTCCAGCATCGTGGCAAGGACAGAAAGCAGACTGTTGCAAAAGCACATCTTTTCTCGGGGCTCCCCACTCCCCTTTGTGCTGCTTGTCCTTCTGAATCCAGCTTTCTCTGGCATATATTTGTGCTTATCTCTTGTATATGCTTTGTATAGGCTTTTTTTCAGCCTCAAGCCCCTTTTCGAGGAAAAACATACATTCCTTCCATTCAGTCAGAGCCATTGTTGGAAGGACCAGAGTTTGTGTTGTGACCTCTGGGCACAGCTGGGTGCTCCATGTGTTACTGACTTCATGGTGTTGTTGGAGTCTTGCAACTGCTCACTTAGCCTCTCTCTCCTTGCTTGCTTTGTATGAAAAACTTTTTTGTGAATGTTCTATAACCATCTTATTTCTAGACTTCTGCACATACATCTGGAAGCACAGCTGTCCAGGCAGATTGTTCTTCAGGGGTAAGAGTTCATTTCATTATTTAGTGCAATTGATTACATGGAGTGTTTTCCCTCTGAGATCAAATCTCTGCCTCCCCTGTCCATCCCACCGTGCAGTACAGCCGGGCTGGATGCCGCTGTTTTGATCCAGGGCTGCATTTTTATTCCTCACGTTAGCTTTTCTTGCTGTTGTATGGTAGCCACTTGCTCGGCTGCTAAGCACAGAACTAAAGGATCACACTGCATACATTTGACCTGACTGTCTTTCTTTGTAAGTTAGTATGAGCCCTGGGTGATTGGAGTAGCCGCGGGGGTACCCAGCATTCTGGCCTTGGTCCTTGCAGTCATCTTGGTGGTGGTCTGTGTTCTCCAGTGGAAGAACTACAGCTGGAATCAGGTGACTACCTTCCATCTTCTGGGTGCCTTGCTATTCCAAGCCTAGACCTCCACATCAGAAACCTGATTCAACCCCTTCTGAAGCTCTGGGGAATTTCAGGACCAAATCTCTTGGCACTCAGACTGTCTCTGCTCTGTCTCTCAAAGGCTGGACCTCAGCCTAGGAGTTGAAGTTTCATAAGGACAAAAGAGAAATTCATGTGAAAATATTGAAGGGGCACTGCCAAGTGGTCTGTTAAGTAGCAGGAAATTAAAAAACCACGAACTATCACCGCTGTTCTCCAGTGGATTTCTCTGTCATTTCCCACAGGAAATCATTCATTTAGGGATCTTCTCACTCAAAAATGGTGTTACTTAGCTCCAGAAGTACTGCCAAGGTGTTTTGCAGTATGTTTACTTTGGTCAGCTTTTTCCTCTGTTCAAGCCCATGGGGTGGGTCTTCGTGCTCTGCCTACCTCCCCAGTGCTGGGGTAGAGTTAGGAATTTCTGTAGCATCACGCTTCCTTCCTCTGTGGTGAAAAAATCGCCCACACCACCAAAGAGACAGTCAACCTGCCTATAGAGGAAGAATGCCATGAAGTGTTCTGGCAGCCAGACATTGACAGTTCTACCTAAAAGGGCCCTTTCCTTCCCCTGCCACTTTACAGATGCTTTTAACCAGCTCTAGTTACTTGCATGGGTCTTTGTTTCCTTACTTTAGAAAGGAAGGTGTAACAGTACTGAGGAAGATGATCTCCCTGTAGTTGTTGTTGGTTAGCATGACATTTTTATTTCTTTTTTTTTTTTTTTTTTTTTTCCTGGGTGTAAATGTGAAAATGAGGGTTTTCCCCTGTGTTAAAAGACCAGACAGATTTTGGATGTTCTAATAAAGGCAGCACTCAGTCATTGAGGTTTTCCCTCTGCAAGGTCATTCTCATGGGCAGGAATTAAGTGGACCCTGTGATTATTCCAAATGAAATAGTGGTTTGCTATCCAGCTTAGAGTATGTTGGCTGTTATCCCCACTATTATCCCCTGTGTGGTTATTTATCCCCTATGTCCTGAGTTCTGGAGCTGTTTAGTAACAGAACATTTTCTCATTGCCCTGTACTTCTGACGGAGTTTGTGAATTGATAGATGTTGCTTGTCACTGTTTCGTTCATTGTTTCAGCCGAATCAACATCCCAATGGGCAGGAAGAACATGAATATGAATCATTCCCTCCCAGACCTCCAGACGTAAGTCATCTATTAACTGATTCTCTACATAGCACACATGCTGCTGAGTTACTAAATGCAGGACTGGCTTTAAGGGTAGCCCTAGACTAATAGAGACCTCCTGGTAATCTGTCTCCCCATGCTTGCCTGGTTTTTTCTACACGACTGCTGTTTCTGGTTGCATGTCTGTCCATTTGATGCAATCCCAGAAGAGAGGCCAGCAATGGTTTGCCATTGTTTTAGAGTACAAACGCATTAGAGCTGCATCCTGCATGGCCAAAAATGGAGGGAGAAGGAGGGATGAATCTGAGATGTTAGCAAATATGAAATTTTCTTCAAAATACTGCTAAACATTTCCAAAGGGAGGTGGAAATTCTTGCATATGCAGTACTCACAAGGTCTCTGAGTACCTTGTGACAACCATCACAGAAATGATATTTTGCCTCTAGGACTTTTATATGACCATGATGCAGGGGACAACAAATATCTACGTAAATGAAGATCAAGACAAACACTGCAAACCAGACATCCAAACACAACCAAAGCCCATGAGGACAAAGAAGCCCAGAAGAGAGACACCTGTGGTGGAATCCATTTATGAAAACCATCCGCCCTATCACTGAAAGAAAAGCACCAAACAGTGGCTGGGGCCAGAAATAACAGACACAATCCTTTTCCTGGACACCAGGGGTCACATGGTTGCAGTTTATGAACAAGAGAGTTTTCTCTTTGTGCATACGTGAAATTCTATGGAGAACAGGACAAAGAGACTTTGGATGGGGAAAGACCTTATTTGCAATGATGCCTTCTGAGATGTGGAAGCAAAATCAGATTCCCCTGGAGTACCTAAGACATGGTTTTGCTGTCCTCCTAAATTAATTCATTTTAATAAAGAACATTTAAGTCCTTGCAGTGATACTAATGGTAGAAAAGAGCAACCAGGGAGTTGGTTGGAATCCCCATCACTCAGGTGCCCGAGTTCCTCACAGCAGTCTGGAGACAGGGATGCATTCTCCTCTTCATTTGGCAGAAGGAGTCCAGACCATGTGTGAGATTAAATGATATGCCCAAGAAAACTGGAAGCAGAATGCAACTCCAGTTGCAGAACTTAGTCCCCATGATAGCAACTTCCTTTAGTTCTCAGCTGTTCCTTACCTGCATTGGCCTCTCACTCATGCTGTTCTCTCATCTGTACCGTGGCATTTCAGCTGGGAGGTGGGGTGGGAGTGTGATTCAGGAAGGAGACACCATCCAGAGAAATGGTCTTCTCAGCAGCCCCATCTTGATTCAGGAGTGGGTGCTGAGAAGCCACAGTGACATTTGGTGTGGGGGGTGGGTTTGTTTAGCCACAGTGACAGGCGGGGTTGTGCTGGCAAGTGCCTCAGGGAGAGCAGAAGGCCTGGGGGAGATGGTGGGAGGAGGACAGAGAGGAGCTATAGGGAAGGTGCTCCCAGCTTGTGGAAAGGCTGGGCCATAAAGTGCCTGAGAAATGAGAGAGGCCCCTAGGAACAGCCAGAGGTCCCATCGAGGGGGTGAAGGCAGCCTCTGGACTCGGGGGGAGCAGCTTCATCTGGCTGTGGGCAGCAGGATGGGCAGCCCCACGAACGGCAGGTAGAGCTGCTGATAGCCCCCAGGCTGCAGGACCCCCTTCCCCTCCCACACCGTGAGCCTTCTCGACTGCTGCTGTGCTGTGGCTGGCCAACCCTTGCAGGCGGCAGCAGTGGGTCCAGTGGATGAAGCAGGCAGGACCCTTGCCCCGGGAGGGAGAGACCTTCCCACATGGTGCTGGCCACAGGTGCTGCAGACCTACTTGGCAGTGGAGCAGCAGATGTGGGTGCTGCCCCAACCTGAAGGAAATAACAACTCAAATCCTCATAAACAGATTTTTCTTTATTGGGTCATTAATGTACACATGTGCAGCGCTATCCAGCTGCAAAGCATGCTGCTCTTGGTGGGACATGCGCTGCGGGAGAAGCAGGTTGTGGGCAGCCATGGGAGCCGTGATTGTGAGAAAATCAGCTGTTTGATGCAGCCACTGCGTTCAATGAGCCCGTG